AACTAGTGCAACCTCTTTGGAAGACAGTGTGGCAATTTCTGAAAGAACTAAAAATTGACCTTCCATATGCCCCAGCAATTCCCCTATTGGGAATATACCCAGAGGAACTCAAATCATTCTACAAAAAAGATACCTGCACACATATGTTTGTTGCCAGCTCTATTCATGGGAGGCTCATAGGGAAAATAAACACCTGGTATGACATCTAAAACACTGCTAAGTCTTGACATACTTTTGTGTTTTTGTATCAAATATGGGAGTAAAAGTATGGTATTTTAATACAAAACATAAGGATCACACTAAAAGCCACTCCCACCCCTCAACTTCTAAACTCTAAAATGTTTGAATACTGTTAGGTTTCAATAAAAGCCTATAGGAGTCTATTTCCCAGCGTCCCTGTAGGACTGGTTCCAGCATTGGGTAGCACAGGATTCCATTCTGTATAGTAAGGATGAGTCAGAGAAAATAGTATGATTGAAAACTTGTCTTCCTCCTTATAAAACTCATACTAATACAGAGCTATCAGAAAACGTTCAGGAAAGAATGTCATAATAGGATGTAATGAACACTCCCACAGTTAGTGAGGGATTTCACGTAACCAAGTGAGGCATTTAAGGGAAAAGGAATCGCCGGGCTCGGTGGCTCAGCCTGTAATCCCGCGCCTTTGAGAGGCTGAGGTGAGTGGATTGTCTGAGCCCGCGGGTTCGAGACCCGCCTGGGCAGCGAGACCTCATCTCTACAATAAATCAGAAATTAGCCGGGCGTGGTAGCGCGTGCCTGTAGTTCCAGCTACTCGGAAGGCTGAAGCGGAAGGATCGCCGGAGCCCAGCAGGTCGATGCTGCGGTGGCCGGGAGCGCCACTGCACTCCAGTCTGGGCGACAGAGTGAGACTCCAACCCAAAAAAAAAAGGGAAAAGGAATCTAGGCTGGGACTCTGCGAACCCGATCCTGAGTTTTTTGGGTTTTTGGTTTTTTTGAGTTGGAGTCTTACTCCGGTCGCCCAGGCTGCAGTGCAGTGGCACGCGACGACCTGCTGGGCTCAGACGATCTTTCCACCTCAGCCTTCCAAATAGCCGGAACTACAGGTGCGCGCTATCATGCCTGGCTAATTTTTTGATTTATTGTAGAGATGAGGTCTCGCCAAGTTGCCCAGGCTGTTCTCGAACCCGCGGACTAAGGCAATCCCCTCAACTCGGCCTCCCAAAGTCTTGGGATTACAGGCTTGAGCCACCGCGCCCAGTGTCCTGATAGATTATTAAAGGGAAACATGTTCTTGTGATTATTCTCCATGAAGATGAGCAACCCACTTTGCCAATTACATCAGTTAGTGTTTTTGACAGGGGCAGTGCTAGGCTGGCTAGTTCTTTACTCTGACCGGTACCATAAAGCTCTGTGGTTCTCAGACTTGGCTGTACAGTGGAGCGCTTTAAATAATCCTGATACCCAGTCCCATTCACAGAGATTCTGATTTAATTTGTCTGGGGTACAGCTTGGGCATCTGGATTTTAAAAAGCTCCCATGTGAATCTACCGTGTGGTTAGCCTTGCACTAAAGGCTTGTAACAAGGCTTCCTCCAAGCTGGGCGCGGTGGCTCAGCCTGTAATCCCGCGCCTTGGGAGGCTGAGGTGAGTGGATTGCCTGAGCCCGCGGGTTCGAGACCTGCCTGGGCAACTTGGCCAGACCTCATCTCTACAATAAAATAAAAAAATTAGCCGGGCGTGGTAGCACGCGCCTGTAATTCCGGCTACTCGGAAGGTTGAGGCGGAAGGATCACTGGAGCCCAGCAGGTCGAGGCTGCGGTAGCCGGGAGCGGCCACTGCACTCCAGTCTGGGCAACAGAGTGAGACTCCAACTCAACAAACAAACAAGGCTTCCTCTTAAAATACACAACAGCACCATTTAGCTTTTGGGGGCCTGCTTGTTTTTGTAACTCGCCCCCCCCCCACACACACACCGGGGTTATGAATTTCTCTTCGCAGTCAGAATTGAATAATCTCAAACCAGAATCCAAGAGGTGTCTTCCGCAAATAAGGAGAACCTGGCCAAACAGAGATTCCCATCCATACATGGTATAAACAATGATTACTCTCTGCTATGTTGCTGAGCCTATTAGGTCGTCTCCCACCTTCTGTTTTCACATTGGAGAGTGTCGAAGGAGACAACGCACTCTGTCGTCTTTTCCCCACCATCGTATTGGCATTGGTCAGACCTCCCAGGGGAAGGCCCGCAGCCTGGGTGGGCACTGTCTCTCGACTCCTGAACCCCACCGCACCCACAGTTCAGCTCCACAGCCCTCTCGCGCGCTGGAGATCTGCTTAAACTGATCCAGACTCCGGGGGCAGAGAGGAAGCGGGTGGCAAAGCCCGAGCTACATGAGCCACGCCCTTCTTCCCTGGTCCCACCCGGTTTGTGTTTACTCAGCAAGCAGATATTGACACGTCCAGTTGGCAACACAGCGCAGGCCCCACCCAACAGTGGAAAGAAAGAGTCCCAGCGCTGGGTGCTCCAGAGACCCTCCTCCTGCTCTGGAGCCCTCTTTCCAAGTCTAAGGCCCTGGGGGCGGACGACGCTAGAGCCCCCGCGTGGCCCCGCCCAGCCCTCTGACAGCAACAAACCCCTTCTCCACCCGTCTTTTTTGTCCCGCCCTTATAGTGACGCCAAGCTCTGGCTCCGCCCATGGCACTCTTTTAACGACTAGCGGAACTGGGAGGGCGCTACTACTACTTACAGTTCCTGGCTCTAGCCCGCTTGGTTGGACGGCGATGCGGCGGAGATCCCTGCCCCTTCGCGCCCTGAGTGTGGCGCAGCCGAGCGTTCCGGCGGGGCTGTGTCTCCTCGCGGGTCTGTCCCTGTTGCTACTGCTGTGTCCACTGGCTGTGCAGGGTGAGTGGGGGCCCGGGACCCAGTCTGGCTGGTTAAACCGTTGGGCTGCTTGGGGGTGGGGGTCGGGGGCTAGGTTCGTCTCGGTGACTACGCACATGTGCTGGGAACCTAGAAGGTGGGGAAAGTGGACACCGTGACGTTTTCCCGTAATTCTCTGCCTTGGCGGCTCGGGACTCCTATTGACACAATCCCTTGGGACCGGAAGAGGATGTTCCCCGCTTCCCAGCGTTCGGGGATCTTGCTGTGCCGGGCCCCAGCCGCGAGGGCTTTAAGGGGTAGGCGTGGAAGCTCGGGTGGAGTTGGCGGAGCTGCCAAACCTGGGAAAACCTGAAGGGAGAGCTCAGAGAGAGTGCATGCCTACCCCCCCCACCCACACACACACCCGAGAGCGTCTGAAAGGGTGGGAGGGTAAGCAGCTGGCTACTCCAACCTCTCAACACTAGCGTCTAGTCTTGTGCAGCACACGGCCCTGCAAACTTGCCTGTCATCTCCTTCAGGTGCCGCGTTCCAAGAGGGCGTCTGTCTGTCTTAGCGTGTGCCTAGCAACAGCATCTATATGGACATTTGATAAATCCAAACCACTTTAAAAAATAACGAATTGGGAAGGATTTATTTACTCTCGACTTATTTTAGTCTTGAATTAATTGGCAAGACAGAAGACCTAGTCCTTGGTGTTTGAGGTCCTCTGAGTGGAAATATGTTTCTCAAAAGCCACTGTTACTTCCCCTTATTCTAAGTCTGGGGAAAGCAGTGTGGCTATGAACTGAAAATGTGTATTTCCTTCAGTTCTGGTTTTTCCTTCCTAGGTGACTGCAGTGATCCCCCAGCGGTACCAAATGCCCAGCCAGATTTGAAAGGTCTTGCAAGTTTTCCTCCGCAAAGCACAGTAACATACAAGTGTAATGAAGGCTTTGTAAAAATTCCTGACAAGGCAAACTCAGTGGTCTGTCTTGACAACAATCAGTGGTCAGATATTGAAGAATTCTGTAATCGTAAGTTCTTAATTTCTTTTTAGAAAAGTTATGGGAATTGAATGTATCTTTTAAAGTTTATTTTTATATATTTTTGGAGTGACTGGTAATTGATCGTTTTCTGGCATTATTAAACCTCAGGGTATATATTGTTGGCACATCACACTCCAGTTAATTGAAGGCTTTACTTCCTCAAACAGGCTCTGTTTCTTCATTATGAGCTTTTCTTCCTAACACGGTACCTCCTGAACAGACTAATAGAGAAAATAAACAATAGGCACTGTTTAGGGAGTAAATTATATATGAATATATTTTGTGATTACCTTGAGACACATAACATAGGTGATATGTTTTCATAAATTTCATTTTGTAAAGTAGGATTTAACCAACTACAACTCTAGTGGCATTTTGTAAAGCTCTCAATATTTACTTCAGAAATGTAATGTATCTATCTAGAGGGCACATGTGATATTTTGACACATGCATACAATAAGTAATGATAAATTAGGGTAATTGGGGTAGCCATCACTTCAAACATTTATTATTTCTTTGTGTTGAGAATATTCCAAATCTTCTCTTTTTGTAATATATGTATCAATTTTTAAAAATGAACTAGAGAGGCCCAGTGAAGAGTTGTTTTGGAGCTAACACAGTAACAGAGTTCACTAAGATACCCAGGAGAAATAAAAGAAACAGATTACTTGGTTTGAGTGAATATACATTGAGTTATTTATACCACATGTGCCCTTTCATTCCATGAAATAAATGTTGGCATTATCTTGGAGGGAAAAAATATGTTATGTTCATAGTTCTGTATTAGTTTTGAGATACATAAGTAAAGATAAAGAGTTGATACCTGCCCTTGAACAACTTGGATCAATGGATGCTACATTAAATACAAACTGCCACAAGTACTTTTTGAGACCATGTGTGAAATAGGCTTTAACTTATTATCTTTCCATGATCTTTGCTCATGTATCATGTTTTAGAGTTTATAACTCTTCCACATATATTACTTTAATCCTCCAAACAACCCCATGAGTTAAGTAGGGACTCTTATCCCCATTTTATGATTGAGGAAACAGGCCTGCAGTAATTATATATAATTTCCTCTAATCAGCACTTCTTATGCCAAAGAACCAAGGTTCAAACTCGGGCCTTTTAACTACAAATCCAGTATCCCTTCCACTTTACCATGCCACTCTAGATTCATATTTGCCCAGATGTATACAGTGTGCAAATATTTTATGTACACAATTGGGTCATCTCATTTAATCACAACAAATTCATGGTTTGTTGTGAGGATTAAATGAGTTTAGGTGTAAAGCATTTATAAATATTCAATAAATATTAGTTTTTATTGTTGTTATGCAGGACATTAGTCCAGGAGTCTGGAAATACCCATTCTCATCTATCCCTGTACATATGGTGCTGAGTAATTCCTTCAGGCAGAGTAAGGGAACCAACCTTTATTGAATATGAGAATGGGGCCAGGCAACTTAAATGGTTTGTTGTTTGAAAAGTGGGGATAGTGACATCTGTATACCAAATATACTTTCCAGGCCTCTAATAACTAGGAAATAAGATTTACATGTGAATACATCAGATACATTGCAAATACCAAAGTAATATTAATTTAGTTAAATACCAAATATCTGCAAAGAAGTCAAGAAAAGGCAGGTGATTTAAGGGCCAGATAATTCCAGATTATTAAACCTAGATTATTAAAAAAAAGTGATACTACTCTTTTTTTGTTGCTTTTAAAAATACTTTTAGGTAGCTGTGGTGTTCCAACAAGACTACAGTTTGCATCACTCAAAAAGGTTTATAGCGAAAAGAATTATTTTCCAGTTGGTTTCACTGTGGAATATGAGTGTCGTCTGGGCTACAGAAGAGATCCTACTTTATCAGGAAAATTAACTTGCCTTCCAAATTTAGAATGGTCCCAACCAGTTCAATTCTGTAAAAGTGAGTATAGTTTTAAAAAGTATTCCCAAACATTTGGTGTTTGGGGAAAATACTATCTCTTCCTTCATTCATGCTAGATCTCCATGTCTATTATCTAAAGTGATTCTTAAAACCATGAAAGTCCATATATGTTAGACAAACTATATGGTAGGAATACTACGCACACATTTTTTTTTTTTTTTTTTTTTTGAGTTGGAGTCTCACTCTGTCGCCAGACTGGAGTGCAGTGGACGCTCCCGGCCACCGCAGCCTTGACCTGCTGGGCTCCGGCGATCCTTCCACCTCAGCCTTCCGAGTAGCTGGAATTACAGGCATGCACCACCACGCCCGGCTGATTTTTTGATTTATTGTAGAGATGAGGTCTCGCTGCCCAGGCGGGTCTCGAACCCGCGGGCTCAGGCAATCCACTCACCTCAGCCTCCCAAAGGCGCGGGATTACAGGCTGAGCCACTGAGCCCGGCACTACTCACACATTTTACATTTACTAGTTTGAGTTATCTAGAATGAAACAAGCATATATTTTAAATAAGTTGCTTTTTTGAAATTCATCATAAAGTGAAGGTGAATTAAATAAGTCTAAGGATAAAAGATATCAATGGTTCAGATGATGAATTTGCATATGTGTGCCTGATAATTTTTTCAATTTTTCCCAGCTTTATTGAGATATCATTAACAAATAAATACTGTATTATTTAAGGTATACAACATGATGTTTTGATATATGTGTACACTGTGAAATGATTACCAAAATCAAGCTAAATAACATATCTACTACCTCATATAGTTACCTTTTTTGTGTGTGTGCCTGGTGATTTAATGAAAAAAAATTTTTTATTCTAATCTAGAAAAATCATGCCCTAATCCTGGAGAATTACAAAATGGTCATATCAATATAACGTCTGGCACATTATTTGGTGCAGCCATCTACTTCTCATGTAACCTAGGGTAAGTTTTGGCCTATTGTAATTTTATACTTAAGAAATTAGAAAACAAATTAGGAATTTAGATGAGATCGTTAGTTTCATGACTGATGTTCCCAAGCTGGTAGCAGCTAAAACAACCTCCTCAAAAATCCTTCATCATGAGCTTGTCACAATTAAATTTAGTAAAGTGGAACAAGCAGGGCAAATTTCTTTCTTTCTTTTTTTTTTTTTAATAGGAGTTTATTAAGAAGAGAGAAAAGCTCCCACTGCAGTAGGGGACCTGAAAGAATTTCTGATACAATCAAATTCTTTAAATTAAAAAAAATTTTTTTTTAATTCTCTAAATTCTTTGATTTCAGTACACATATGATTTAGCATTAAACTTTTAATATGAATAGTAAAGAAAAAATTTGAGATGTTGATGATACTTGCAGAAATAACAAAAGTCTGTAATTGGCCTAAATAATGAATTTACATACGAGTTTTTCTATATACAAAGTATTATGAAACATCATAAACATTTATTCCTAGTGTGAAAATATTCCAACCTAAGTTCTTTGATAAGTTCTCTATATAAGGGAAAGGAACTCATTTACTGAGTACCATCAATGTCTCAGACGCTGTTGAACTTTACATTTATGTTTTGATTTCTTTTTTTTTTTTAATCAGGAGCTCATTTTGTCACCCAGACTGGCATGCAGTGGCGTGATCATGGTGAGCCTTGAAAGTGGATCTTTCCTTCTCAGCTTCCTAAGTAGCTGGGACTACAGGCATGTGCCACCACTCCTGGCTAATTTGTTTTTTATTTTATTTTTTAGTAGATACAAGATCTCACTGTGTTGCCTAGGCTGGTCTTGAACTCCTGGGCTCAAGCAATCCTCCTGCCTCAGTCTCTGGGATTACAGATGTGAGGCACCATGCTTGACTGCTAGTCTTCATAAAATAAAAATATTTGTGTCACTTGTCTTCTATACTAAACACAGATATGAATTGGGTCATTAACATAAAATCTGTGAAGACCTTTGATCCCTTTAAATATAAATACATTCTATTATTTTATGAAGCCTGTGTTAATCTTTTAGAACTCAGAAAAATGAAATATTCAATCATCTATATCATTTAAAAATGTTTTAAAACACTTATATTTTCTTTTTTAATTATTTATTATAAAGATGTAGGGTACAGTTCAGGGTTAGGTCTATAAACTTTGATCATGCAGGTATCCTTGTTGATGAGGTATGCCCCTCCCTCCTCCAGCAGTTTTCCTCAACTACCAATCCCACCCCCCGTCCCCTGACAGTTTTCCACTACTGCCAATTGCTTTCTTATAGCATTATAATTGTTCAAGGTCAGCTTATGGGTGAGAACATATGGAACTCAGTTCTTTGTTTCTATGATAAACCACTGAGTATGATCGACTCCAAATCCATCTGAGTTGCTGCAAAGTCCATATATTTGTCCTCCTCTAGGGCTGCATAATATTCCATTGTGTATATGTACCACATTTTTTTTTTTATCCAGTCCAGCTTCAAAGGGCAACATGGTTGGATCCATGTTTTTGCTATTGTGAATAGAGCTGCAACAAATACATGTGTGCAGGTATCTTTTTTGTAGAATGATTTTAGTTCCTCTAGGTATATTCCCAGTAGGGGAATTGCTGGGTCATATGGAAGGTCAATTTCTAGTTCTTTCAGAAATTGCCACACTGTCTTCCAAAGAGGTTGTACTAGTTTGCATTCCCACCAGCAGTGTAGAAGCATGCGTTTTTCTCCATATCCTCACCAGCATCTGTTGTTGTGTGTTTGATTAATGATGGCCATTCTTACAGGGGTTAGGTGGTATCTCAATGTGGTTTTGATTTGCATTTCACTGATGATGAGTGAGGCTGAGCACTTTTTCATGTGTCTGTTACCTACCTGTATATCGTATTTTGAGAAGTGTCTATTCATGTCCTTTGCCCATTTTTTAAAGGGGCTGTTTTTTGGTGGTTTTTTTCCGGCACATTTGAGTTCCTTATAGATCCTAGATGTTAGACCTTTGTCAGATATACAGTTGGCAAATATATTTTCCCATTCTGTGGGCTGTCTCTCTGCTCTCTTGATGGTTTCTTTTGCTTTGTAGAAGCTCGTTAATTTGACGAGGTCCCACTTGTCTAATTTCTTAAGGTATTGGCCTTTAGGGTTCTGAATAGGAATTGGTTCCCAGTTCCAGTTTCCATAAGGGTGTCTCCTGTGCTTTCTAAGATTCTTATAGTTTGAGGTTTTACATTTGGGTCTTTGATCCATTTAGAATTAATTTCCGTAAAACACTTATATTTTCTAATATATGCCCTATGCTCATAAAAAATGTTCTACATGTCTTTTTTTTTTTTACCCTTTAGATGTCACCTTTTTAAACTTAGTTTTTCATTTCCTTTAAACGGCTATCTGGACTTTTATCACCTATTCTTCTGTCTCTATCTACTGCTATAGTCGATATTTTAATTATCCTGGAGAATTTGAGGGTGGTCAAATATGTGTAAATGCAATAAACTATTTTTTCTTCCTCTGTTGCTTAGGTACAAATTATATGGCTCAACTTCTAGTTTATGCATTGTTACGGGCAATACTGTTGATTGGAGTGACTCATTGCCAGAGTGCAGAGGTAAGACTTTTAAAAAATTTAAGCACTCAAGTTATGGGGCTAAATAATCAGTGATAAATTACTTTCTGCTCATTAAGAGTTATGCAGTGTATATTTGTAGCGCCCTCACCTTTCAATGTGTGAGTGGTTTTTACTAATTTAAAGAACTTTTCTGGTGATGCTCCTCAATGTATTAGCTGTGGAGATAAACCATCAAGCTTTGCTGAGCCCCAATATCTTTTACTATTGAATGAAGATTAAAAACAAACTTAGGTTTGTATTGTGTTTGATCATTTATTATCTAACCATTCCTCCTAAAGTCAAGTAAGATATCTAAGGGATTTCCCCCCCCCACAATTTTATGGAAGAAAATACTATCAATCAGAGTCTATATGACTTGACTCCCATGTCTTAAAGTACAAACTCCTTAGTATAGTGTACAAGGCAGTCATGTTCAATCCACTTCTCTACACTCACGTTTCGCCCTCATGGTTTATGCTTTGTCGATGCAAACTACTTGTCTCTTTCCATTAACCTCCAAGAAACCTATGCTACTTCATGCTTCAACATCATTTCGTATGTCACTGCTTCTGTCTGAAATGTTCTTCAGTCCCTTCTTTATTTGGTTATATTTTCCTCAGAGTCTTCTTGTCCCTTCAGGAAGATTTTCCAAGCTGGTACTTCTGTAATGACCCTCATATTTTGTACTGAAATTATCTCTTCAAATCTTTTCTCCCCAGTAGACTTTAAAACACAGACACTATATCTTATTCATTTTTGTACTTCCCAATTTGAAACCGGTTGGTCAGAAGTTCCAGAGCCCCAGACTTGCAACTGGTGTGTGAGCACAGGGCAGTCTTGTGGTACTGAGCCCTCACCCTGTGAGAACTGACACTATCACCAGGTAGATAATTCTGGAATTGAATTAGAGGACACCCAACTGGTGTCTACTGCTTAGGGTATGGGGAAACCCCCCACATTTGGTCAAAGAAGGCTTATTTTGTGATGATGATTGTTGTGGTGGTGTGAGAGCAGAGAGAAAAAAACATGGTTTGAGAGAGTTTTTCCAAAACAATGTGGAACCATTGGATTTTTTCTCAGGGCAACCTCCAGGGAGAGGCCAGTTTTTATAGTATAACTAGAGAAACTGCTTGCATTTATTTTACAAATTTAGCTGCTCTGTAAGGTAAGTAAGAGCTGGTCTCACTGTGCTACCAGGGCTGCAGTGCAGTGGCACAATTACTGTTCGCCACAGCTTTGGTAGGTGATCCTTCTGCCTCATTTTCCCCAAGTAGCTGGGTTAAGGCATGTGCCATCATGCCCGGCTGATTTTTTAATTTTTTTAGAGATGAGGTCTCGGTGTGTTGCCCAGGATGGTCTTGAACTCCTAGACTCAAGCAGTCTTCCCGCCTCTGCCTCCCAAAGTGCTGGGATTACAGGCATGAGCCACTGTACCTGGCTGTGTAAGATTTATTTTGAATAAAAGTCTCTGAGTCAAAACATGCTAAAAAAATTTTTACTCTAGAAGTCAAAATGTAATCCTGACCTTTAATATCTTTGCTCTATTCAAAATGACCTATTCTTAGTTCTCAGGTATGCTGCTTGAATTTCCAGTTCCTCTCATTTGGCATCATTTCAACCTCCCCCCCATTCTTTCTTAGAAGAGTGGTACATTTTAGGCTTAAACTCAGGTTCCCCTTCCTCACTAAAGTCTTCTCCAAATACCCTGCTTTCATCTCTAAACTCCTGCAGCACTTACTTTTTCTAGCACCACATTGATATGTAACATATGCAAACCTTATTTTAATTTTTCTTTTACATATACTCTAAATCTTACTATTTTTATGAATTGATTTTAAGGCTAGCATTCATGTTCAACTTTTGCGTTCAAAGCTCCAAATATACTACCAGTTACTTAATAGGCATTTATAAGCATCTCTTGTTGATAATGCTGAATTTAGAAAATGGTTAGGCTTTTTTTTTAATAAAATATTTAATTGGTTTAGTCTTATTTGTAAAAGTACTTTACTGGTTTTATTTACTTATATTTAAAAGATGTTGATTTTTTTTTACAGAAATTGAATGTCTAGCCCCACCAGAAATTAAAAATGGAGTAATACTTGGGGGGAAACATGACACTTATCTACAAAGTCAGACTATAACATATATGTGTAATAAAGGCTTCACCCTGATTGGAGAGAGATCTATTTATTGTACTGTGAATGACGATGAAGGAGAATGGAGTGGCCCGCCACCTGAATGCAAAGGTAATCGGTTTGTGTAGTTATAATTTGCTTTATTCTTACCTTTAGGTCTATATGGGCTACAGAGACTCTATGAACTCCCCCAAGAAGTGAGTAAAATGTTTACATATGCATATTTTCATTTTTCTGTAAGACACAATTTTTCTTTTTTCTTTCTTTCTTTTTTTTTTTTAGAGTTGGAGTCTCACTCAGTCACCCAGTTGCTGGGCTCCGGCGATCCTTCCGCCTCAGCCTTCCAAGTAGCTGGAACTACAGGCGCGCGCTACCACACCCGGTTAATTTTTGATTTATTGTAGGGACGAGGTCTCACCAAGTTGCCCAGGTGGGTCTCGAACCCGCAGGCTCAGGCAATCCACTCACCTCGGCCTCCCAAAGTGCTGGGATTACAGGCTGAGCCACCGAACCCGGCCAAGACTTTTTTTTTATTTTTATTTTTTTTTGAGTTGGAGTCTCACTCTGTCGCCCAGACTGGAGTGCAGTGGCCGCTCCCGGCCACCGCAGCCTCGAGTTGCTGGGCTCCGGCGATCCTTCCGCCTCAGCCTTCCAAGTAGCTGGAACTACAGGCGCGCGCTACCACACCCGGTTAATTTTTGATTTATTGTAGGGACGAGGTCTCACCAAGTTGCCCAGGTGGGTCTCGAACCCGCAGGCTCAGGCAATCCACTCACCTCGGCCTCCCAAAGTGCTGGGATTACAGGCTGAGCCACCGAACCCGGCCAAGACTTTTTTTTTATTTTTATTTTTTTTTGAGTTGGAGTCTCACTCTGTCGCCCAGACTGGAGTGCAGTGGCCGCTCCCGGCCACCGCAGCCTCGAGTTGCTGGGCTCCGGCGATCCTTCCGCCTCAGCCTTCCAAGTAGCTGGAACTACAGGCGCGCGCTACCACACCCGGTTAATTTTTGATTTATTGTAGGGACGAGGTCTCACCAAGTTGCCCAGGTGGGTCTCGAACCCGCAGGCTCAGGCAATCCACTCACCTCGGCCTCCCAAAGTGCTGGGATTACAGGCTGAGCCACCGAACCCGGCCAAGACTTTTTTTTTATTTTTATTTTTTTTTGAGTTGGAGTCTCACTCTGTCGCCCAGACTGGAGTGCAGTGGCCGCTCCCGGCCACCGCAGCCTCGAGTTGCTGGGCTCCGGCGATCCTTCCGCCTCAGCCTTCCAAGTAGCTGGAACTACAGGCGCGCGCTACCACACCCGGTTAATTTTTGATTTATTGTAGGGACGAGGTCTCACCAAGTTGCCCAGGTGGGTCTCGAACCCGCAGGCTCAGGCAATCCACTCACCTCGGCCTCCCAAAGTGCTGGGATTACAGGCTGAGCCACCGAACCCGGCCAAGACTTTTTTTTTATTTTTATTTTTTTTTGAGTTGGAGTCTCACTCTGTCGCCCAGACTGGAGTGCAGTGGCCGCTCCCGGCCACCGCAGCCTCGAGTTGCTGGGCTCCGGCGATCCTTCCGCCTCAGCCTTCCAAGTAGCTGGAACTACAGGCGCGCGCTACCACACCCGGTTAATTTTTGATTTATTGTAGGGACGAGGTCTCACCAAGTTGCCCAGGTGGGTCTCGAACCCGCAGGCTCAGGCAATCCACTCACCTCGGCCTCCCAAAGTGCTGGGATTACAGGCTGAGCCACCGAACCCGGCCAAGACACAATTTTTCATCAGACTCTCTGATGGATCTATGTCTTGTGTCTTGTATATATACATATACACATATATATAGGATGTATGTATGTGTGTATGTGTATACACACACACACACACACACAGAGGGTGTCAAAAAATGTATACACATTTTAAGAAAGGAAAAATCTGTATTAAAATTGTAATACTCAATATATACCGATAACAAAAGATGAATACAGGTCATGTTTGACTTTTGCATTACAAGATGTGCTCAAAGTGGTTACCAACAACATACAGACACTTCTGATTATGGTGAACTACTGCAGGACTTGTTGCTGTGGGAGCCCTTCCAGATCTTCCCTTGTGCACAAAACACACAGTACTGTGCATCTCAAACTTACCACGAATGTGTGCAGTTGTTAGGCATGTGGGAGGTTCTGTTGCATGTTCACTGCCTCCATGGTTGTCATACTCCCACAACGTTATTGAATTTCAAATACCAGTTCAAAATGGTCTTGCGCTCCTCGAATGACAATTGTGCTTCTGCCATTTTCTTTGTCCTGCCTGTCGCATAGTGACACTAGCATTCATTTGATTAACACCATCTTTTGAGTGAATGTCACATATTGCTACTGTAACTCAATTCTACTCCAAAAAGTAATACATAGTTCACATTGCTTAAAATGTGTTTACATATATTTTGGCACCTCCAGGATAGATACACCACACACACACACACACACACACACACACACACACACACACATGCATACACACACACGATATGTCTCAATATTTTTAGCAAATTATCTTAAATTCGCTGTTTCATACTATGTTACTCTCAGTAAGTTAATATAGATATATCTTTGTTTATATGAAGAGTACTAAATAATAATTATAGTAATAGGTTACTATATTACTTTAATAATTATAGTAATAAGTATAATAATATAGTAATAAGCAATAATAATTCTATTCAATTGGAGAGAGACTCTTAGATTACTGAGAACTCTAGAAAGTGATCATACCTGTTGTGACAACTGAGAAACTCTTTCCTAGCTGTTGATTTCATCGTGTAATACAATGAAATGCATGTGTTCTGCCTCCAGAATTTCTATTATTGACTATTCTCTCTTCTTCATACTTCTAGACTTTTTTTCCTCAGTGTCTCTTAATACCTGTACTGTACTCTCAGAATCTGCTTTTTAAATATATTTTATAATAGATGCTTAGAAGATTAGTGAAGCTGGATTAAACTTCATAGTACCAATAGGTATGCTTGCACACACGTGCAATGACATATGTACAATATTTATTTATTTGTTTTATTTAATGTATTGAATCCGAGTCTCACTCCATCACCCAGGCTGGAGTACATGTTCACAACCACGCCAGCGTCAACCTGCTGGGCTCAGGCGATCCTTCCGTCTCAGCCTTCCAAGTAGCCGGAAATTCTGGTATGCACTACCACATCCAGCTAGTTTTTTGATTTATTGTAGAGATGAGGTCTTGACAAGTTGCCCAGGTTGTTCGCAAACCCGTGGGCTCAGGCAATCCCCCTCACTTTGGCCTACAGTGTTTATTAAAGCATCATTTATAATGATAATTTATAAAAAATAAACTAGAATGAAAAACCTAAATTCCATCAACAAAGGACTGGTCAAGTAAATTATATATCCATGTAATTTATATGATAAATAAAAGAAACATATATGCTCACTGCCTCCATTGTCGTCGTAGACAAAACACAATAATTTTTTTAAATGAGTAGGACTAGGGATAGAGAAGAGACTTTTACTTCTCATTTATGTTCACCACAAGGTTTTAATATTTCATCATGTTTAAGAGACATTCAAGACATGTTAATCTGTTCTGACACATGTTAGAGAAGAGAGAGAGAAAGTGCGAAACAAGGAGGAGGAGAAAGGAGGAAGAAAGAAGAGAAATAGGAGCAGAAGAAATATTTTAAAAGATAATAACTGATAATTTTTCAAAACTGATTAAATACATCAGCCAGCAGATTCAAGAAAGAAACTCTCTGACTCTAAGCAAAATAAAAACAAAATTACTTCAAAGCACCTCATGACAAAACTATGGAAACTCAAAACAATAATAAAAGTAACTATACATAAGTAAAAAATAAATTTCCATCAAAGGAGTTAACAGTAAAACTGATCTCTGACTTCTCATCAAAAAATAATGCAAATCAAAATGCAATAAGAAAAGATCTTTTTAAAAACTGTAAGAAAATTACTGCTCATTTAGAATTCTATACCCAGTGAATCTATCCTTCAAAACTGAATGCAAGATACGTATTTAAACAAACACTGAGGAATCTTAATCCAGCAGACATATGGACAAAAAATTGAGGAAACTTGTCAGCAGACTAGATATGCACAGAATAAAAAAAGTAAAGGAGGGTTGGGCATAGTGGCGTATGCCTGTAATTTCAATGCTTTGGAAGGCTGAGGCAGTAGGCTTACTTAACAAGCCTGGGCAACATAGCAAGACCTCATTTCTACAAAAAACATTAGTTGGGTGTGGTAGCACATGCCCATAATACCAGCTACTCAGGAAGCTGTGGTGGGAAGATTGCTTGAGCCCAGGAGTTCAAGGGTACAGTGACCTATGATTGTGCCACTACTCTCCAACCTGGGCAACAAAGTGAGACCCTATCCTTCTCCCAACCTGAAAAAAAAAAAAAAAATTAAAAAAGCTAAAGGAAAATCTTCAAATACAATGAAAATAATCCCAGATAAAATATGAAGATACAAGAGGAAATGAACACTGGCAAGGGTAAATGAATTCTGAGTTTACAAAACAGTGAATGCAATGTCTTCTGAGGTCTGAATAATATGTAGAATACAGATGCATAATAGCAATTAAGCAAAGGATACAAAGAGGTAAATTCAATTTAAAAGTTACAAGGTTCTAGCAGTACTGAAGAAGTGGTAAAAGTAATCATTTGCATACTTGACTTATTTAACACATACATTGTAATCTCGATATTTGTTACAAAAGAATGGTAAGATAAATGCTAATCACAAGCTAATAAAGGAGTTATAATGAATATTTAACCTAAAAGATAACAAGAAATGAAAAGAAGTAGAAAGGAGCATAAAATAGATGGTGGAATAAAAAACTACTAATAAAGTAGTTGATATGAACCCAAGAGTATTGGTAATTACATTAAATGTGACTTACTAAGAGTGTCAAACTAGATTTAAAAAGGAAGCGTATTTATGGTTTAATAGAAGCACAGCTTAATTATAAGAATACAGAATAAGCCAGGCATGGTAGCTCATGCCTGAAATCCCAGCCCTTTGGGAGGTAGAGGCAGGAGGACTGCCCGAGCCCAGGGTTTCAGGACCAGCCTGGGCAACTTGATGAGACTTCATTTCTACAATAAATCCCAAAATTAGCCTGGTGTGGTGGCACACACCTGTAGTTCCAGCTACTTGAAAGGCTGAGGCAGAAGGATCACCTGAGCCCAGCAGGTCAAGGCTGCAGTGGCTGAGCATGCCACTGTATTCCAGCCTGGGCAACAGAGTGAGACTTTGACTCAAAAAACCAAAGAACACAGAATAGTTGAAAGTAGAGAATGTAAACATTAACTCGCAAAACAAACCAGTGCAATTATATTAATATTAATGTACATTTTAAGATAAAACTGTTCATAATGATAAACAGGGCGACACAACAGGAATATATCACAAACTGAGTTCTGTATGCATTTGATAAAATACCTTCAATCTATATGAAGCAAAAATGGACAGAAAGAAAAACAGACAAATCCACAATCGTGGTTGGCATTCTTAGGACATATGATGTATGTGGTGGGGCTGACAGCAATAGTACTGGATGACATAACCCGTTACTTCAGAGACAGACACTGAAATCACTTACCAAATCATTTCCCTTCATCCTTACGTTAGAGTTAGACAGTCTGCTCTGTTTTTATTCTTATTTTACAGAGGAGAAAACCAAAGCTCAGAGGGGTTGGAGAACTTCTGAAGGTCATTAGTAAGAACTGAAACCAGGCGTCAGCTCCACTTAACAAGGAGTCTGTATACACCGTCCCAAAGCACCCAGAGTTAGATTTGTGATTCTCAGAGTGGTTTTTTTTTTTTTTTTTTTTGAGTGGAAGTCTCACTCTGTCACCCAGACTGGAGTGCAGTGGCTGCTTCCGGCCACCGCAGCCTCGACCTGCTGGGCTCCGGCGATCTTTCCGCCTCAGCCTTCCAAGTCGCCGGAATTACAGGCATGTGCTACCACGCCCGGCTGATTTTTTGATTTATTGTAGAGATGAGGTCTCGCTGCCCAGGCGGGTCTCGAACCCGCGGGCTCAGGCAATCCACTCACCTCAGCCTCCCAAAGGCGCGGGATTACAGGCTGAGCCACCGAGCCTGGCTTCAGAGTGGTTTTTAACGGAAGTTTCACATGACTTCATAAAGGGAACTAAACTAAGTATATAACCAGCCCCAGAGGAGTAAAGGGAGTTATTTTTGTTCAAACTGACAGTTTTACATTTAAAAAGTGAAGCTCAAGTTCTCAAGCTCACGAAGGTGTCTGGAAAGTCATGGAAAAAGTAACTGTTGTGATGACCTCTGTTGGCCCAACGATGTATCCTGTTTTTCTTTAGTCTTGGCAGGAACAAACAACTTGGGAGAGAAATTAAAGAGAGGTGTGCCACAGAATAAGATCACTTCTGACTCCAACTTTGATTTTCTTTTTTTCACACAAAAAACAACTTAAGAATCTCAGTACTGCTTGGGTATAAATCTGCTTTAGGTATTTGTAGATATAATTTATATTAAAGCAAAAGCAATGTAGCATTTCAGCTCCTTGAGAAATACATAGTAAGACATGATTTCCTAAAAGTCATATCTGGGTGTTTGTGGGGAGAAAAAGATAATAGCCATAGAGCAAGCAATAGCTGAAAATCTTAACTTGGACAGCAATATTTAGCTAATTTTTTTCTTAACACTTTTCCTTCACAGAAAAATCTCCAACTTCCAAGCCTCCACCACCAGTGCAGAGACCTACTACAGTAAATGTTCCAGGTACAAAAGTCACAACTACTTCTCAAACACCCACCAGAAGTACTGTTCAAGGTACAGAAGCCCCATCAATTCTTCAAAAACACACCACAGTAAATATTCTAGCTACAGGAGACACACCGAGTCCTCAGAAACCCACAACAGTAAAGGTTCCAGCTACAAAAATGACACCAACTCCTCAACACATTACAGCAAATGTTCCAGCTACAAGAGTCACACCAACTCCCCAGAAACCCACAACAGTAAATGTTCCAGTTACAAGAGTCACGCCAACTCCCCAACACACCACAGAAAATGTTCCACCTACAGAAATCACACCAACTTCTCAAAAACACACCACAGTAAATGTTCCAGCTACAAAAGTCACACTAACTCCTCAGAAACCTGCCAGAGTAAATGTTCCAGCTACCAGAGTCACACCAACTCCTCAACACACCACAGAAAATATTCCATCTGTAGGAATCACATCAACTCCTCAGAAACCCACCACAGTAAATATTTCAGCTACAGGAGTCACACCAACTCTTCAGAAGTTCACCACAGCAAATGATTCAGCCACAGAGGCCCCATCAACAGCTCTTTCATCTTTCATATCAAATACCCTATCTGCAAAGACCCCACCAGTAGCTCAGAATCCCAACATGGCTAATGCTTCTGCTCCACAGGCCATACCAACAGTCCAAAGATTCACCATAGAAAAAGCTTTATTTACACAGAGTTTTCCAGCAACACAAAAGTCCACTCTTGTACATGTCCCAGTGACTAAGGGTCTCCAAAGATTCACTTCTGCTCATATTGCAGCAACTGTTTCCCGGACAACCAAACATCATATCAAAAGCACAGCTACAGGAAAACAAACCCCTTCAGGTCAGTTGACACTTCTCAGGTTTCCTGATTGTGAATCTAATGTGTTATGCATGGTGGAAATATGAACTTGACCAAGATTGCAAAATTCAGTTAAATAGTCTCTAATTTATGGTACCCAGGGGTTTTTCATACTAATATTTTAGACTTTCTTCAGAGGATGACCTGGATTGTGCTAGGGCAAAAGGAAACAAATATAATAATATAGAAAAAGATCGTGACCCCACACAAAAAAAATGCTAAATTAAGATTGGTGAAAATATCTATAGTAATTTTAGGAAGTCATTGACTTCTTCAAGACCCCTCCAAAGAATCGAATATGTACCATCCTTAAGGTTGAGTCCTGGGTCTGGTTCATTGATAGAGACCCATTCCTCAAAGTATACTAAGGGACCTCTCCAGATTCCCTAAAGTTGCTAATTTAGTAAAGCAACAATGTCCTATAAGTAATGGAAAATACAGAGATGTGGCCAGGTGTGGTGGCTCATGCCTGTACTCCCAGAACCTTGGGAGGCAGAGGCGAGAGGATTGACTGAACCCAGGGGTTCAAGACCAGCTTGGGCAAGTTGGTGAGACCTCATCTCTACAATAAATCAAAAAAATTAGCCAGATGTGGTGGCACACACCTGTGGCATATAAACACCATATGTAAACCCTATTTAGTTCCCCTCTTTTAAAGGGGAACTTTAATTCCTGCCTGCTGTGGCCCACTTTTCAGTGGCATCAAATAATTGTTTTTTTAACAACAGTTTTACTCATTATGGCCATATTTTCATAACAATTTCATTTTATAATTGAAGTCTACTTTGCCATTACCTGAGTATTTTAAATAATAAGCATTATAGACTGGGAGTGGTGGCTCATACCTGTAATCCCAGCACTTTAGGAGGCTGAAGCAGGAAGATTGCTTGGGTCCAGGAGTTTGAGACTAGCCTAAGCAACACAGCATAATCCCACTTCTACAAAAAATTTTTTAAATTGCCAGGCATGGTAGCATGTACCTGAAGTCCCAGCTACTTGGGAGGCTGAGTGGGACATGATCATGCCACTGCACTCCAACCTGGGACAGAGTTAGACCCCAACTCAAAAAAAAAAAAAAAAAAAAGAATTTAAATATTACAGATAATATTGTTAAAGTTCACTTGTACATTTCCTTACCTCCATTTATCTCTCTTTAAGGCAATTACTGCTCTGAGGCTAGTGTGCTTACTTGCTATTTGTGTTTTCATTCTTAAGTAATAAAATTGTTTTGTGTTGTGTTTTAAAACTAATTTCCACAAATGGCATGTCATATGTTTCATTACCTAACTTTACTTTTAGCAGTCAACATTTATTTTGTGATTTATATTGATCATTTAGATTTAGTTCATTAATTTTAATCCTTTTGACATCTTAAAATGTTATGACATCTTTGAGTCTAAAATTTTTAGGTTGACTACATCTAATAGGGCACGGGAAAGCGAAATGTGTCACTTTACGTAACTTTGTTATAGAACTAACTTTGTTGAAATATTTTTTTCGGGCAACCCCTTGGGGTCCCTTCCCACTGTGGGAGTTTTTCTGTCCTCCCAATAAATCCTGCTTTCAAAAAAAAAAAAGGAAAGAAAAAGAGATTTATTTTTATAAAACGTACAAGATAATTGACCAGGCATGGTGGCTTATGCCTGTAATCCCAGCACTTTGGGAGGCAGAGGCAAGAGGATTGCCCGAGCCCACAGGTTTGAGGCCAGCCTGGACAACTTGGCAAGACCTTGTCTCAATAATAAATCAAAAAAATTAGCTGGGTGTGGTGGCACATGCCTGTAGTTCCAGCTACTTGGAAGGCTGAGGCAGAAGGATCGCCTGAGTCCAGCAGGTCATGGCTGTGGTGGCTTTGAGTGTGCCACTGCACTCCAGCCTGAGTGACAGGCTCAAAAAAAAAAGTACAAGATAATTTAACAAAGTTAAACTAAACCTAATGAGTCAACTATTATGATAAAAATATAATCAATGTTTGGGATCAAATTTTGCCCTTATGTACAATTAATTTATTCTTTCAGGGCATGATATAATATACATATCTTACTCTCATTTTAGGAAAATAGTAACCACCACTTATTGAGTATATACTATTGTGGCCTATACCATGTACCTTCTATTAGGTGAGCTAGTCCTTACAACAGCCTTGCGAAATAAATATGTTTAGTTTCATAAGGCATAGTAAACAACTGCTGATCCAATCCTACTACCATGAAACAGCCCCAATCTCACTGACTTGAGAAGTCAGAGGATGGGAGTTCCTACCTGACAGCAAAATGTGGGAACAAATCTGAGGGATTGGTAATGTTCTATTTATTTGTGGTTGCTACACAAATTCTTGCTTTAGGAAAGTTGTTTAACTGGACATTTATTTTGTTTTTATAGATGAGGAATTAGAGGCATAGAGAGTAACTTGTACAGTTCATATCCAGTGCATAATTGCTGGGAAGGAAACTGAGGTCTAAACATATATTTGTTGACTCCAAATCCTGTGCTTTCTCTGATGTGTAATATTGCCTGTCCTAAGTGGCACTCTGAGTACAAGTGTTAACCTCAATTAAGAGAGTAGCTTATTTATTATTATGCATGTGCTTATATGAAAGTAATTTTTGCAATACTTCATCTACAGTTATTGAAAAATATAAATAATAAAGTATATAGTAATCTTGAGTTTAGATAGAGACTGCTGAAGGGGAGTTGGGTTTTTTATAGTTTCTTGATAGTAGGATTGGATCAGCAGTTGTTTACTTATTTAAGTTTTTCAAACTTGTTTCTTGACATCAACCCATTTAACTGAAGTCAGATGGTGTTTGTTTTAGTATTCAGTAACTCTTTCTTGTACTTCATGTTTACAGTGTTGATTCTGTTGAATGGATATAGGCACTGGTGTTTATGTTACTGATTAAGTTAGTAACATATAATTGTTTTTATCAATATAATTATTCCTTCCACTTATGGAAACTTGAGTTGCTTTTGAGTTTTCAAGTGTAGTTTGCTAATATTATATGAAATTCTAGCATATCAGTGACTTTTTAAATTTAAAAATTTTTTAAATTCTTTTTTTCCCCTTCTTTTACAGGTGCTATCACCTTAATATATGGTAAGTTTGACTCTCAGGCAGTTAAAAGAAATAGTTGTCACTGTGGGATATATGATCCATATTCCTGGAAGATAATATTGTCTTCTTTTTAAAAACATTTCTCTTGAAATTTGTATATTTTTAAACTTTTTATTATGGAAAACTTCTTATTATGGAAAACACCATGCAGGTAGGGAAAACAGTACAGTATATCCACATGTACCTAGCCTGATTCAACAATTATCAACTCATGGGTACTCCCATTCCCAACCCCCACAATGGATTATTTTGAAGATAGTCCCAGACATCATATCATTTTCTCCATAAACATTTTCCTAAGTAACCTTTAAAAAAATCCACAATACTATCCCCAAAAAATCCAGTAATTTCTTAATATTAGCAAATATTCAGTCGGTTTTCAGTTTTCCCTGATTGTTATAATTTTTAATTGATACATAATAGTTTACTTTTTATGGGGCACATGTGATATTTTGTGACATGTATATATGTAATGTGTCTACCAAGTCTATGTTTGGGATATCCAGTACCTTGAGTATGTATTATTTCCATGTGCTGGGAATATTTCAGTTCCTTTCTTCTAGCTACCATGAAATATTCAATACATTATTGCAAACTGTACTCACGCTACTCTGCTGTCGAATATCATAACTTATTCTTATCTGATTCTATGTTTGTTCCCACTGACCAAACTCTTCATCCTCCTTCCTATTCACACCCATTTCCCAGCTTCTGGTATCTAACATTCTACTCTCTAACCTCCCTAAAATCAACATTTTTAGCTTCCACATATGAATGAGAACATGCATATTTGTCTTCTATGGCTGGCTTATTTCAATTAACATAATGACCTGTATTTCCATCCATGTTGCTGTAAATTACATGATTTCATGCTTTTTTATGGCTGAATAGTATTCCATTGTTTATATATACACCACATTTTCTTTCTTTTTTTTTCTTTGAGACAGGGTCTCACTTTGTCACCCAGGCTGGAGTGCAGGGGCGTGATCATAGCTCACTGCAGCCTCGACCTCCTGGGTACAAGCCATCCTCCTGCCTCAGCCTCCCGAGTAGCTGGGACTACAGGTGTGCACCACCATGCCCAACTAAGGTTTTCAAATTTTTTTTTTGTAGAGACAGGGTCTTGCTATGTTGTCCAGGCTGGTCTCGAACTCCTGGCCTCAAGCGGTCCTCTCACCTCAGCCCCTCAAAGTGCTGGTATTATAGGCGTGCGCCACTACGCCTCGCCCGATATTCTCTTTATTCATCTGTCCATTGAAGAATACTTAGATTGATTCCATATCTTTGTCATTGTGAATAGTGCTGCAATAAACATGCAAGTACAGATATCCCTTTGATATATTGATTTCTTTTCTTTTGGATAAATACCCAGTAGTGGGATTGCTACATCATATGGTAGTTCTATTTTTAGCTTTTGAGAAATTTCCATACTGTTTTCCATAGTGGCTGTACTAATTTACATACAAATCAATATACAAAATCAGCGTTCAACATATAAAAAAACAAGTTCTCCTTTCTCTGCCTCCTCACCAGTATCTGTTATTTTATTTATTTAATTTATTTTTTAGTTGGAGTCTCACTCTGTTGCCCAGGCTGGAGTGCAGTGGCACGATTACAGTTCACCACAGCCTCAACATCCTGGGTCCAAGTGATCCTTCCACCTCAGCCTCCCCAGTTTTCTAGGATTACAGGAGTGTGCCACCACACCTGACTAATTTCTTTATTTTTTTGTAGAGACGAGGTCTTGCTATGTTTCCCAGACTGGACCCAAATTCCTGGGCTCAAGTAATCCTCCTACTTTGGCCTGCCAAAGTGCTGGGATTACAGGTGTGAGCCATTGCACCTGGCCCAGTATTTGTTATTTTTTATCTTTTTGATAACAGCTATTCGAACTGGGGTGAGATGATCTTTCATTGTGGTTTTGATTTGCATTACTCTGATGATTAGTAATGCTGAGCATTTTTTTCATATATCTGTTGGCCATTTGTATATCTTCTTTTAAGAAATATCTATTCATGTGCTTTGTCCACTTTTTAGCAAGGTTTCTCTTGTGCTATTAAATTATTTAATATTCTGGATATTAGTCCCTTGTTGGAAGAATAGTTTGCAAATATTTCCCCCCATTCTGTAGGTTATCTCTTCACTCTGTTGATTGTTTTTTTTGCTGTGCAGAAGCTTTTTAGTTTAATATAGTCCCATTTGTGTGTGTGTGTGTGTGTGTATATAGTTTTTTTTTTTTTGAGTTGGAGTCTCACTCTGTCACCCAGACTGGAGTGCAGTGGCCGCTCCCGGCCACCGCAGCCTCGGCGACCCTTCCGCCTCAGCCTTCCAAGTAGCTGGAATTACAGGCATGCGCTACCACGCCCGGCTGATTTTTTGATTTATTGTAGGATGAGGTCTCGCTGCCCAGGCGAATCTCGAACCCGCAGGCTCAGGCAATCCACTCACCTCAGCCTCCCAAAGGCGCGGATTACAGGCTGAGCCACCGAGCCCGGCTTATATATATAATTTTTTATGCTGTCTGTGCTTTTGAAGTCTCAACCATAAAATCTTTGCCTAGACCAATGTCCTGAAATATTTTTTTTTGATGTTTTCTTCTAGCAGTTTTCTAGTTCTGGGTCTTATGTTTAAGTTTTTAGTCTATCTTGATTTTTGCATGTGGTGAGAGATAGGGGTCCAGTTTTATTTTCTTCTTCATATGGATATACAATTTTCCTAGCACCATGTATTGAAAAAGGTGTTGCCCTCCCCCTCAAGATATATTCTTGGTGCTTTTGTCAAAAAGCAGTTGGTTGTAAATATGTAGATTTCGTTGTGGGTTCTCTATCCCATTCCATTGGGTTGTGTGCCTGTATTTGTACTAATACTATGCTGTTTAGGTTACTGTAGGCTTATGAGCTGTTTTGAAGTCAGGTAGTGTGATACCTTCAGCTTTGTTCTTTTTGCTCAGTATTGCTTTGGCTATTAGGGCTCTTTTTTGTTTCCACTTGAATTTTAAGGTTTTTTTCCTGTGAAAAATGACATTGGTATCTTAGGGTTAGAGATTGTATTGAATTTTTTAAATTGCTTTGGACTGTATGATCATTTTAACTATATTCTTTTGATCCATGAGCATGGGATGTCTTTTCATTTGTTTGTGTCCTCTTCAATTTCTTTTATCATTGTTTTATAGTTTCTTTGTAGAGATATTTTATTTCCTTGGTTAAATTTCTCATTATTTTTTTTAGCTATTATAAATGGAATTGCCATCTTGATTTCTTTCTCTGTATTTTCATTATTGATGTATAGAAATGCTATAATTTCTGTATGTTGATTTTGAACCCTGCAACTTTACTGAATTTATCAGATCTAAGGGATTTTTAGTGGAACCTTTAGGTTTTTTTTCTAGATATAAGATTATATCATTACACAGAGGGACAATTTGACTTCTTTTTCAATTTAGATGCCTTTTATTTCTTTCTCTTAATTGATTGTTCTAGCTAGGACTTCCAGTACTATGTTGAATAGGAGTGAGAGTAGGTATTCTTGCTTTGTTCCAGTTCTTAGTGAAAAGGCTTTCAATTTTTCCCATGCAGTATGATGTTTACTGTGGATTTGTCACCCATGGCTTTTATTATGTCGAGATATGTTCCTCCTATGCCTAGTTTGTTGTGATTTTTAATCATGAATGAATGTTGAATTTTATTACGTGCTTTGTTTCTGCTTTTTGATATGATCATAGGGTTTTCCTCCTTCCTTCTGTTGATGTGGTGTGTCACACTAATTGATCATGTAGTTGCATCATTCTTACATCTCTAGTAGAAATCCCATTTGGTCATGGCGTACAATTTTTTTTGACATGCTATTGGATTTTTTGTTGTTGGTGAGGATTTTTTGTGTCTGTATTCATCAGGATTAATGGCCTGTAGTTTTTCTTGTTGCTTTCTTGTCTGATTTAGGTATCAGGGCAATGCTAACCTTGTAGAATGAGTTAGGGGAGAGTTTCCCCTCTTTGATTTTTTGGGGATAGTTTCTGGAGAATTGATATTAGTTATTCTTTATATGTTTGGTAAAATTTGATTTTGAATCTGTTTGTTTAGTCCTGGGTTTTTCTTTGTTACAAGATTTTTATTACCGATTCAATCCTACTACTCGTTATTGGTCTGTTTAAGTTTCTATTTCTTCCTGATTCAATTTTGGTAGGTTGTATGTTTTTTTAGAATTTATCCATTTCCTCTAGGTAGTCCAGTTTGTCATCATATAATTGTTCATAATAGTCTGTGATCTTTTGTATTTCTGTGGTATCAGTTGTAATACTCCTTTTTCACTTCTGACTTTGTTTACTTAGGTCTTTTTTTTTTCTTCTTGGTTAGTCTACCAAGTGGTTTATCAATTTTGTTTATCCTTTCAAAAAACTGACTTTTCATTTCATTGATCCTTTGTATTGATTCTTTAGTTTTTACTTCATTTAGTTCCACTCTGACCTTTATTATTTCCTTCCTTCTACTAGTTTTGGGTCTTATTTATTCTTTCTTTTCTCTTTCCTTGAGGTGCATTGTTAGGTTGCTTTTTTGAAATCTTCCTGCTTTTTAAATACAGGTGTTATTGTTGTAAACTTCCCTCTTAGTACAGTTTTTGCAGTATTCTCTATGTTATGCTATGTTGTGTTTCCATTTTTATTTTTTCAAGAATTTAAAAATTTCATCCTTAACTTTTTCCTTGACACAATGGTCATTCAGGAGCATATGGTTGAATTTCCTTGTACTTGTACAGTTTCCAAAGTTCATTTTGTTATTGATTTCTCATTTTATTCCATTATGGCCTGAGAAAATACTTGATATGATTTTGGTCTTTAAATTTTTTTGACTGGATATGGTATTTACAGCTATGATCCCAGCAATTTGGGAGGCAAAGGAGGGAGGATTGCTTGAGCCCATGAGTTCAATATCAACCTGAGCAACATAGTGAGACCTCGTCTTTATAAAAAATCAAAAAATTAGCTG